TTAAGCTCCATGGCATTCTATTTTTTCAATAGAAAGAGCTTCTCGAGGACAAAAAACATGGTTTACTTCCATTATATTCCTCAAGTCTAGCACTGGGCTTTGGTATACAATAGGCCTCAATATATTGAAGTATTTCCCATTCATATTTCTATCCTTTTTTGCTTCTGAGAGCACAAAAGCCCAAGTACTCCAATTACCTCTGAGCGCTGGTGTGCCTTTGCCTCTTCATTTCACTCTTCCAGGGCTCTTCTCACGCTCTTAGCATATCATTCCAGACAGGTTGCCACAGGTCTGGTGGTCCCACCTTACTTAACATCGTAGCTCAGACCTAGCTCAGGAAAATATGAACTGCCACTTCTCAGCACCACACTCTCCCGAGTGAGCCACAGGCCGGCCCTGAACTGCCACTTCTAAGCAATGTCCTTTTTTACTTATCAGAAAGAATTAAAATATTTTATCCTTAAGAACCCTTAGAAATAATCTAGTCCAATTGTTCAGATCAAAAGGAAAATTCTCAGGTAAAAAAATCTTTGGATTTGGAACTTTTTTAGACAAGTGAACAGATATGATGGGGGGGAAGGGGAGAGAAGGAGGGGGAAGAGGAACGGGTAAAGGGTCATGAAAATCAACTACAATATATATTGAGAAGAGTTTGTTAAATTAATGAACAGATGAAACAACCATTTATTTTAGTCAAATATACAATTAGGAAACACAGACACACAAAATAAAATTTTAAAAAAAAATTTTGGATTCGAGCCTTAAACAAGAGAAAGTCACAAATCCAATGGCTAGCTACTTTACATGCCATGAGAACCAAACTCTCAACTGGAATAAACTTCCATTCTTGGCATGACAACAATGTTCTGAATCAAGTTCAGATGACTTAAACTACTGATCGGGAGAAATGCAAAGGGGTTTATTCACAGTACCAAATTCCATGCTGATCAACATTACTAGTAATCCTTCTCCCCTATTCCCAACTATGAAAGTCCAGATTTGAATTCTTAAGTATTTAGAACATGGTATATAGGGAGGAACTGCAACCATGCTTCCTGTAGTATCCTCCTTTTCTTGCTTGGCTTCTGCCTCAAGGGTGTGAGGGTCCTCCTCTGGGCTATTAGGTTAGACTAAGCATCCTTCCTCAGTTCTCCCACAGCTACTTTACTATGCATGGAAATGGACTTATAAAATAAAAATTTCAGAAGCATGACACAGACTGCCTGATTCAATGTTGGTTCCATATTACCAGGTATATGCAACCCTCACTGTTGAGTAAAAAACATTATTTTCTCAAAGGATCAACTTCTCTCAGCTTTTAATGAAAAATTTTTATTTCTCATGATTTTTTTCCTAGCCTCCATTTATTTACATACACTAGAACTGAAAAATACAAGCAAGCTACACAAAATACACTTTCAAATTTCTAAACCATGGGAAAATGTACTTCATATCTAAACAATCCACCCAGAAATCTTTTGAAACATTTTGTTGTTAAATTGAAAATAGCCCTTATTAAATAAACACTTGGGCCGGCCCGTGGCTCACTCGGGAGAGGGTGGTGCTGATAACACCAAGGCCACAGGTTCGGATCCTACATAGGGACAGCCAGTTGGCTCACTTGGGAGAGCGTGGTGCTCACAACACCAAGCCAAGGGTTGAGATCCCCTTACCAGTCATCTTTCAAAAAATTAATTAATTAATTAAATAATAAAATAAAAAAACAGTGGAACTTACCTGAATACTAATAACTACAACTTAAACAGAATCTTAAAAATGCCTATACTCAAATAAAATGGAAGTGAAAACCACCACAGAATTTGTTTATTGAACAATTTGCAATATAAAAATTACACCCATGTGGGCCGGCCCATGGCTCACTTGGGAGAGTGGTGCTGATAACACCAAGGCTATGGGTTTGGATCCCATATAGGGATGGCTGGTTAGCTCACTGGGTGAGCACGGTGCTGACAACACCAAGTTAAGGGTTAAGATCCCCTTACTGGTCATCTTGGGAAAAAAAAAAAAGTTTGCTTCGATGCCTGAAAAGTTAAATTACTTAATTTATCCTGTTTGGGATATGAAGAAGCATTACATTGAGTTTTCCATTTGGCCAAGGTTCTACTAGCCACCAGCTTTCTATAAAAGGCTAATAACAGGCCAGACCTAACTAATGAATTTCAGGCTTGAGAGAGGTGATTCAAAGATTCAGTATAGGGCGGAGGCTCACTCGGGAGAGTACGGTGCTGACAGCACCAAGACCACGGGTTTGGATCCTATATAGGGATGGCCAATTGGCTCACTGGCTGAGCGTGGTACTGACAACACCAAGCCAAGGGTTGAGATCCTCTTACCGGTCATCTTTTAAAAAAAAAAAAAAGATTCAGTATAACAAGGTAAATCCAGCCAGGATCCAATTCAACCAGCATTGTGATCACTCGTGATACACCAAGGAAAATGAAAAACTAAATTACAGCAATATGCCTGAGGCAGAGCGCACAAAGAAGGAGAAACCATTAAAGCTGAATGTGAGGAGAAGGGTCAGGGAAAAGCCCAGTTATTTTGTAAGGGAACTAAAACAACAGGTAGGATTTAAATAGGTGGTGGAGTTAGGCAGTCAAATGAAGAGCCAATAGCCTCAGCTAAGGTACAACAGTATGGGTAGGTAAGGATGGCTACCAGGGAATAAGGAAGCAACCCAGTAAATTGCAGTGAAGGAAGGATGAGAGGGGGCAAAGAGAAAATTACGTTTGGTATCTCACAAGACACATGTATGGAAAACCAGGAATTGGCTTTGTGGACAGTGAGGAGCCACCGCAGCATACTTCTTTTCCTCCCTCTAGAAGGGGATCAAGCCACTGACGTACACTTTTGAAACAGCTGTATTATAGTAACTGTCACCTCAATGTAAGCACATGCCTTGTATACAGCATGGCTTAATAAATGCCTGAAATTAATTATATAATTCACTTTCACAAATTAGAGATGTAATTTATTTAAACATTACAAATCCCATTACAGTAAGTTCTAAGATTCTTTCCAACACTTTAAATTGGAATTATATTGTGCTCAAAGTTGACGGCAACCACCAGCATCTGTTAGGACTTGCAGGTTTCACCAATCAGATTCTTTGATGCCTTGGTCTTTATTATACAACACTTGATTTATAATCACTTTCTCCCCATTTTTCAAGTCCATTTAGTTCAGTAGTTAATCTTATAGTCATTATACTGTCACGATTTTGTTTCTTTTCCATTTCTATTCCACAGAAGCAACACTTATGCATCCACTTGGAGTCCTTAACTAATTATAATAGCTTTTAAAGTTCAGAGTAAGACCCTGTCAGCAAATCTATAAAGTAAGAAACATCACCCTGAAAAATCTACATCAACATCCAATTTTAAATTCTTTTTCATTGCTATGTAGAATTCCACCATATGCACATACCCTGATTTCTTTGTCCGCTCACCTGCTGATGGACGTTTGGTTTGTTTCCAGTTTTTGGCTATGAGGTGCTCTGAACTTTCTTGTACAAGTCTTTTTGTTATCTGTGCATTCAGTTACTTTGGGTGTGCCATAGAATTTTTAGGTCATAGGTTCCAAATTTTCCACATCCCCATCAATACTTGTTATTTTCTGTTTTTTTTTTTTTTAAAGATGGCCTGTAAGGGGATCTTAACCCTTGACTTGGTGTTGTCAGCACCATGCTCACCCAGTGAGCGAACCGGCCATCCCTATATAGGATCCGAACCCGGGGCCTTGGTGTTATCAGCACCACACTCTCCCAAGTGAGCCACGGGCCGGCCTGTAAACTAACTTTTATATTAAAAATTCTAGGCAACTCTTCAACTCAAATTTGGCATAATTTAAACAAAAGAAACCACTGATAAAATACTTATTAAGGCAAATTAAAGCAAATAATCAAATAAAATAATGCATTTTACTTGGAAAAGAGAATGCTTGATGATCAGTGTCACTGGGTTCTAGACTTTTAAAAAGACAGTAAGTCATTAGACAATACAAAAAACTATGTTTGAAATTGAAATAAGATAGAAATAAGTCATTCAAAAATTTTCCTTAGCGGGCTGGCGGGTTAGCTCACTTGGTTAGAGCACGGTGCGCATAACAGCAAGGTCAAGGGTTCAGATCCTCTTAGGGAAAGCAAAAAAAAAAAAAAAAAAAAAAAAAAAAAAAAAAAAAAAAAAAAGGAATTAATTCTCCTTAGTAACATTTTAGCCTTATTCCACCTTGGAAATTAACCAAAGTAATCTCTAGTTTATTAATGGTCCCCCTTGGGGGAAATATAAGTTTTCCAAAAAATATTCTCGTCAAAGCCAATGCACCTTCTCTTTTCTTTGTAATTACTGTACTGTAATCTTTGTAATTAATGTATTGTAAAAGAGAAGGTGTTTGGCTAGCTTCAAACTTGGCAACAGAGTATCAACATACACTTGTAATATTTCACAGTTAAAGGTTTTTGTTTCTAAAGGCTAAAACATTCTCATTTGGCGACTGTTCCAAAGGCCGCAATTCAGGACTTCTTAACCTGCAGTTCAGAAATCTGCAGGGAGTCCAAGAACCTTGAGTTGTGTGCAAACTGGTGTGTACGTGCATTTTCGGGGGGAGGGGGGCATGCCACGGCTATCTTCAGATTCTCAAAGAAGTCTATGGTCCAAGAAAGTTTTTTTTAAAAAAAAAACAAAAAACGACAAAACCCTGTATTAGTACTATAGCCCAGATAGGTGACGAAAAGCAAAAAGCGTACATTTTGAACTATGCGACCACCGTTAAACATATTTAAAAAGCATCCTCTCATCCAGTGACCCAGATCCTGACACTAGCCTCCCGTTCGGAACGCCTTCTGAAAAATAATTTGGTTCAGAATGGGGAGAAATGGGTCCAACATCTCCCCCCGCCCCAAGACTGCGACCGACCCCATTCTGGACCCTCCTTCGCGGTCAGGGTGGTTGCGCACCCGCAAAGGGCGGGCGCTCGAGTACCTGGGCGCGGGCTCGATTAGGGTGGTGGTGTCCAGGTAGTGGATCTTGTAGAACTCCAGCAGGGCCGGCAAATGGTCAAACTCCTGGTCCCCGATCTTAAAACGGCGGTTGGGCAGCGAGTTGATGATGTAGTGGGAGACCCGCGAGTTCTCGGACACCGACAGCACATAGTCCCCGGGGCAGGTGGAAGAGTCACGGACTAGGAACACGCCGTGGCGCTGGCCCTGGAGCCGGGTCTGCGCCTCCTGGCGAGACACCGGCCCCATGTACCAGGAGGAGCGGTCTGAAGAGTCGAACCTGGCAGAGGACATGATGCCGTGTTGGGGCAGCGACTGCTCTCGCCTGCTCTGGAAGCCTTTGCCCGGCAGACTGTTGTGGGGCCGAAAAAGGGCCTCTAGGTACACCTCAGTGCGCGCTTAGAGGGCCGGGCCAGCACCTTCCTCTCAGCTCTGGGCCCGCAGCATCCTTCGCCGCCGCCCCCTTGCTCCGGAGCCGCCTCAGGGAGAGAGCCGGCCCGGGGATGCGGGGCAGAGCCCGGGGGTCGGGGCGGGCGACGCCGGGCCGCAGCGGTGACCGCCCCGGGGCTTTTGGGCTGCTTGGCGTACCGAGGGTGCCTCCAGTGACTCCCGGCCTGGAACGCGCCGGCTCCGCAGTCCCACGGGCCTGCACCGACTCTCGCCGTCACACGAAGCACGGGATCCAAGGCGTGTTGCGCCTCTGGGACGATTTTGCCCAGCCAGTTCCCAATAACCACAGCAACAAAATGGCGGACGCGGGAGAAGCAGCCGGCCACCTCCCCCTCCGCTCAGCGCGCTCCGTCTGCGCACGCGCAGGGCTCCGACTCCCCGCGGCCGCCGGGACCC